TCGGGCCACTTGCGGTGCGCCTTGGAAGTTATCCATCCAGTGCTTCTGCTGTAACACGCCATTGTCGCGCCCTTTTCCAGGGCCATGCCCTCCGCGATCGCTGCATCGACATCCAAGTCTGGACTAGCGGCTTCGCCGCTAGAGGACTCGCGTGTATGTTCAGACCCATGCGCAGGCAATGGGACCAACAGCTAGCGCGAGGCCACGAGTCTCGCCTCAGCCGCGGACTCGCCGGCACCTTCGTGAGAGGAAGAGGCGGTTTGCCCGGCAGGAGAGGCCGCTTGTGCTTCACGCGTGGCCCCGTGGTATGCTCGATTGCACCGTGTAGGCCCGTGATCATTATAGAGCGTTTCCCATTCTCGCTCAACGAATTGCGCCTGAGTATCATCTGGCGGCTGGTAATCCAGGCCAGACCTGCGGGGCCCGCTCGAAGTTAGGGCTCCTTGAAGGGCGCCCCATCGGGCAATTCGGTCTGCGGTCTGCAAAATTCTCGCATCCAAAGACCTCCTCTCGAGATCCTTCCGGCCCGCAATGAAGGCTCTTGTTGCGACCTTCCTGTTCAACGTTGCAGCGGTCCTGGCACCGCCTCTCCTGTTCGCGCGGATGATGCTGCCCGTGTGTTCACCCCGCTTCGCATTATTCAATGGCCACCAGTGGCGGATTTGGTGCCCTGTTCCAGCCAGCAACCCATGTCTTCGTCTGGCATATACTGGCGGGCAAGCCCGTCCTTTCTTTCACCGGCCAGTCCGTGCCGGCGTGGGCCATTGGGCCCGCCTGAGCTTTCGTCATCCTGATGCGAGTTCCCCCGCGAACGCCCCCTTCTAGGCGACGCTCTCGGATCGCGCGGACGAGGGCGCCGGGCGCCGCCTGAGCGGGCGCCCGAGCGACTGCGCGAATGACTCCGCCGATGGCGGCGTGGCGGGCGGCCCTCGGCTTCCCATTCTCCATCGCCATCACCAATGCGACGCGCGCGCCCCCACGCCGGGCGGCTCGAAGACTGGTCACGCAGTGCAGAAGTGAAGCGAGAGCCTTCATTGTGTCCGAACTCATGTTGAATACGCTCAGAAAAGGTCGCCCGTGTCACGCGGGTTGCCCCGTAGAAGATCGTCGTCGCAAGTGTCCCTGCGCGGGGGTTTCCCGGACACCCGCGGTCGGGGCGCCCGTTGGAACTCCTCCTCCGCGGCCGGAATCGCATCATCAGAACCATCGGGCTCGCAATCATCGAAGTGCGCAGGCCCCCCAGCCATCTCGCGGTCCGAGTCGGCGGGCACGAGGTAGTCCTCGATAATCTCCATGTGCGCAGGTTGCCCCGCGATCGGAATGTGCAGACAAGCTGCAAGGTCTATCTCGCCGCGGTCAACGTCGATGTCCTTGGAGAGCTCGTCGGCGCGCTGAGATGCCTCGCAGACGTGAGATGGGCGGCGGCCGCGGGGGTGGCTTCTGATTCGGCAAGAAGAGTCCCCCAATCAAAATACTGCACGTCGAAATTGGTTTGAGCAAGATCTATCGACGGACCCCGGCCACTCCCATCGCCTTGGGGGCGCTCACGAAGAAAATACGGGGTACTATGGCAAATGTCACGTTCCGTGGTTTTCCCGATGGATTCTCTCGGGCTAACCCGACGCCCCTCGCCTTTCTCCGGGGGCGGGCCTGCGGCCCCTACCCTTCCACGGGAAGACTTCTTCATGCTCTGGTCCCGTAAGGGATGCCAAGAATGTTAGCGCGCCTCTACCATGCAATCTCCGTCGTTGACCCTCGCCTTTACCACTGATTTCTGGCCTAAACACCCGTCGGACTGCACGTCACCTTTTCAACTGGTCTCTTCATAAAAACGTGTCCATCGGCACTTGTGCTAGTGGCTGTTAATGACACCCTAGGAATGCCCACTGCGCCTGCTGCTTTTCAGCGGTGAGATGCACAGGCGTGTCGGAGCAACCCAGGTTGCCACTTCCCCCGTCTGGTGAAACGTCAGCGTCGGCGCCAGAATCAAATTCGGACTCCGCGGGTTGCCCCGCCGAGCTCGCGAGGGCAGTGGCTTGGGTAGGGGCCGCCATTGCCGACGGTCCCTGAGATCGAGCCCAGGAGTCTTGCGACCCCGCGGGCTGGCCACCTCGTTGGCTGAATAGAATGGTGGCCTCGCTTGGTCGTGGATAGTCATTCCAGACGTTGCCGGCGGGTTGCCCCGCATGAGTGTCGACATGATAGACGTCTGCCCGGTGGCCATGACTGACTGCGCCACCACTGTTGCCAGGCGGTCGCTCACCAATATGGGCGCAAGCCCTCGTGCGCTCTTGTGAGGCGTCAAACTGCTGCTGAGTCCTTGGCATTCGGTGGTTCAATGAATGTGGTAGTTGCTGTGCGCGCGATGCACCAACACCTAGGGCTCTCAACACTATAGCTGTCAGGACCTGTAAGTTTGGATGTTGATGCTCGCGGCGTCGGCTTCGAAACGCTGCTGTCTCGAAGCGGGCCAGCGCCTGGTCGATCCGATCTCCCGCATGGGCGCGAAAGTCAATGAGAACCGTTCCCGAGTTGAGTTGGCGTTCCTCTTCCAGGTTTTCGAACTTCCTGCTGGGGAAGAACGCGATATAGGCGGCGCCATCGGTGTGGCGACCACCAATATTAACACCGGAATTGGTTACTGCGGGGGGGGGGCTCTCATGGCCATGGCCTTTGCGAGCCCTCCCAGACCACGCTGTGGAGCGGCAGCCTGTTGGGAGGGGGACATAGCGCCTGTGGCCACGTTGATCCAAGCATGTCCCTCGCGAGCGAACTCGCAGAAACAAATATACATTACTGGCAGGGTCCCAGTGGGGGTCGGCAGTACGTGCGTCGTCTCCGCCACGCTGCATGTGTCCAACAACGCATCCAGTTGCGACCAATAGAAGGCCAAACGTCGTAACACCGATCCAATGGCCTCGTAAGTCATAGTCGGCTGTATGTTGCTGTTGCTTGTGCGGTGACGTTGCCGTCAGCTCGCGTGGGGGTGGAGGCGGCACAATGTCGCATCGCACGTTACCATGCATAATGTCTTCGAAGAAATTACCAACTGGAGTAGGTGGGTGGACTTCAGGAGTGTCGTAGCGCAGAGATTTAGGACTCATGTAGGACACCTCCGCGTGAGCAGAGGCAGGACTTCAACTGTCCTTGCGATTGTGTATATGTATAGACATTCTTCTGCGCAGAGCCACTGCGCCCTGATGTTCCACCATGTCCGGGGTCCACCAGACACTGCCGTGGATGGTGAGGAGTAGAGCGAAAGCTGTCCTCCATAGGACAGCTGCGCTACCAAGCTTGAAGCTGGTCGGGAGGCCCCCTTCGCCTGGGGCGAACCCCGTATCCAACTCTGCTATACCGTAGCAACGATAGTCCCAAGAGCAAGAGAGAGCCGAGGGAGCGACGAGCCCTTTCAAGCGATGATGTTTTCGGTCTCAATGGTAAGTCCTGTGCCTCGCAGTGAGGCACAATCAAATCTTGGCGGCCGGCCGCTTGAACACCAACGGCCGCGGACAAACGCTCGCTACCTCTCGCCTTTGCCCAACCTCCTTTAGATTGAGGCCCCCAAGGCAGCCCCAAAAAGTCCAAAGACAGCACAAGAGGCCTCCAAGACGCCCAAGATGGCCTCCAAAACGGCACTGAAGCACCCCAAAGGGGTCCCAAGTCGGCCCAAAGAGGCCCCCAAGACGGCTTCCGACGGCGTCAGACAGGCCAGGAGGCCACCTAGACGGCCCACGATGGCTCCAAGACTGCCCAAGACTGCCAAAGAGGCCCCGAAGAGGTCTCCAAGATGGCCCAAGAGGCCTCCAAGACGGCCTCCAGGGTAGCCTTCAGAAGCCAAAATCATTGATTCGCGTTGTCCAACAATTTTGAAATGTGTTTCTGTTCTGCCTTCCGACGGCCCGAGACAGCCCAAGAGCCCCCAACGATCGCCCCAAGATCGCCCAAGAGGCCTCCAAGATGGCCCCAGAACGGCCCAAGAGGCCCCCACGGCGGCCCCAAGAGGGCCCAAAGAAGGTCCAAGAGGCATCCTAGACGCCCAAGATGGCCTCCAAGACGGCCCTGGAGCACCCCGAGAGGGCCCCCAAGTCGGCCTAGAGAGGCCCCCAAGACGGCTTCCGACGGCGTCAGAAGGGCCAGGGATGCCCTAAGGCGAACGAAGGCCCCCCCGAAGTCCCCAAAGGCCCCCAAGAGGCCCAAGGAGGCCCCCAAGATGCTTCCAAGCGGCTCCTGGCTCCCAAAAGGAGAGGGCCCAACAGTGCCCCCAGAGGCACCCAAGATGCACTCCTCCTCCTCCTCCTCCTCCTCCTCCTCCTCCTCCACTTCCTCCTCCTTCTCCTCTTCCTCCTCCGCCTGCTCTTCCCCGAAGGTTTTCCACAACGGCTGGGGGAGCACATGGTTCGATAGCTTGGCAGACCTCTTGCCACAACGCTCGGCCACATGGGCGAATCCCAAAGGCAGGGGGCGGCGGTGATTCGCCGTAGGCGTCTTCGCTATTTCCAACGGTCGCCTCAAACTCTAACTCCTTCTAGGGGTCGGCGGAATGGCGTAAGCCACTTGAATCATAAGCTTAAGCTCTGGCAGCAAAACAGTGGCACTCCGAAGCTCAGGCTCAAGGCTGAAACTTCAGCTTGCTCTTTTGAAACTTGGCGCCCCTCTTTGCGCTGCACGGCTAAGATCTTCATATTTCACCGACGGCCCGGGTTATCTGGTTGGAGGTAGGGGGGAGGTGCCAACGGATAGCCTAACCTGTTCGCGTTGGGCAGCCCGGCAGCCCCACGCATGCCCGTGCGCACCAATACTGCGTACCCCCTCTGGACCCGCGCAACCGACAAGATTGGGCTATCTGCGAAGGAGGCGGGCCCGATAACCAGGGTTCTCGCCGACCCCCCCCCCCCCAAAAAAAACGATCCCGGGCGCGCACGCCGATGCTGGGGGGACACCTGTGAGCCAACATCATAGGTCACTCCGGCGAGGGGTCCCTCCCCTGCGCAGCCGAACACCTCGCAGGCACAACGAAAGCCGTAGCCGGACAGCGCGCCCTGGCGCTCCGCTCGGGGAGCCCGCAAGTGCAGGCCCCCCTCGACGCAAGGACTCAGACGAAGCCAGGACGTCGGCGCGTGGGAATCCTCGGCCTGCCCCGTCCGCACCTTCCGCGCGTAAGGTGCCGCCGCGTTGCTGCCTCGACCGTGGCCGCCGCTGCGGCCGCGGCGGTGTGCGGAAGTGCGGAATGTGCAAGCCGAGGGAGACTAAGGCCTCGGGCTGCGCACAGGCAGCACCCCTGGGTAGTCTCGGCTGGTCTCAACAAGGCCTCCGAATAGTCTGGGAATGTCCCAAAAACCCGGCGGACTACTCAAAGGGGCCTGGTAAGGCCAGCCGTGACTCTCCAGAAGCCGAGGCCTTACCAATGGCGCACCAGAGAAAACTACAGCCGAGGTCTCCATTCTTCGTTCTCTCCGCGTGGAATGACGGAAAGAGCGAGGTTCGAGTGATGTACGTTGAGTTGGGGCGAAGCCCTCTAGGGAGGGGTCTAGGAGAGGGGCGAGGCGGGCGTACAGTGGTCTAATGGCCGCTCGTGCCTCGTTGTTTATCGAGTGAAGCGGCTCCTGGGCGGCTCCCATGGCCCGTTTCTTCATATTTTTTCTGGTGAAGCGGCTAGAGGGCCCCAAGACTGCCCCAAGAGGGCCCCAAAACAGCCCCACAGGGCCCCAAGACGGCCCCAAGAGAGCTTCATATGGCCTCCAGACGGTCCAAAAGAATCTCGAGACGGCTCCAGAAGCTCTCCAGAGGGCCTCTGAGAGGGCCTCAGGAGGCCAACAACGTTGTTTTCCCTATGGCTTTTGCCCGTGTTTCGGGTTCTCCCCTTTTCCGTCCCAGAAGGGCCCCAGACGGCCCAAGAGGAGGCCCCGAAGATCGTCCCAAGACGGCCCCAGAGGCGCTCCAAAGGGGGCCCAAAACGGTCCAAGAGGGCCCCCAGACGGGCCCAAGACGGCCCAAGAGGTCCCGAAGATCGTCCCAAGACGGCCCCAGAGGCGCCCCATATGGGCCCAGACGGCCCAAGATGGCCCCCAGACGGCCCCAGGGGGCCCCAACACGGCCAAGAGGGCCCCCAGATGGCCCTAACGGAGCCCCAAGAGGGCCCCAAGAGGCTCCCAAGCGGGCCCCAGGAGGAGGAGGAGGAGGAGGAGGAAGAGGAGGAGGAGGAGGAGGAGGACGAGGAGGAGGAGGCGGAGGCGGAGGAGGAGGAGGGAGAGGAGGAGAAGGAGAAAGGAGAAGGAGGAGAAGGAGAAGGAGGAGGAGGAGAAAGAGGAGGAGGAGAGGAGAAAGAGGAGGAGGAGGCAGAGGAGGAAGGAAGGTAGGAGGAGAGGAGGAAGAGGACGAAGAGAAGGAGGAGGATGAGGAGGAGGAGAAGGAAAAGGAAGAGGAGGAGGATGAGGAGGAGAGGGAGGAGGAGGAGGAGGAGGAGGAGGAGGAGGAGGAACGAGGACGATGTCAAGGGAGGAGGAGAAGGAGGAGGAACGTGGACGAAGCCATGGGAGGAGGAGGAGGAGGAGGAGAAGGAGAAGAAAGAGGAGGAGGAGGAGGAGGAGGAGGAGGAGGAGGAGGAGCAGGATGATGAGGAGGAGGGAAGAGGAGGAGGATGCGGAGGAGGAGGAGGAGTCTGGCGGAGGAGGAGGAAGAGGAGGAGGCGGAGGAGGAGGAGACGTAACAAGCTTGTTTCGCCAAGGCTCCATAGAGCGAGCGGCAATGTAAACATCTCTGAGCACCAGGGCTCCCAACAGAGAGTGGTGACGTAACAATCTCTTCCCACCAAGGCTCCCAAGAGCGAACGGTGACGTGACAAACTCGTGCACACCAAGACTCCCAAGAGCGAACGGTGACGTAAATAACTCCCAACACCAATGTTCCCAAGAGCGAGCGGCAACGTAAAAGTCTAGGCACACCAAGGCTCCCAAGATCGAGCGGTGACGTAGCAAAATCCCAAGAGCGAAAGGTGCCGTGAGCCCTCTCGGGCAAGTTCCTGAGGCGCTCCTTTCGTTTCCGTGCCGGCCCAGGTGTTCAAAGTCCTGGTCAGCGATGTCCTGGTCTAGGGGGGCCTGTGAAGTCCTCGTAGAAGAGGGTCAGCTCGGCACCCTCCTGGACGGCCGAGCTCGTGCGCACCTGCTGAGCATCGTTCAGTAGATCCCTCTCCCCACTGGCGTGGCCTTGGCCCCACTGGCCGACTGGCCCACCCGGATGGGGGGATATGCCTGCTCCTTCGGGCTTCGCGGAGCCTACCCTGGCTACGAGGGTGGGCTGGTGGGGCTGAGGTATCAGGGCACCGTGGGGATGGGGAAGGGCGAGTGGGCGGCTCCCGCAAGGGGGTGGCGCGAGGTGGGCGGTCTTCTCAGAATACGCGGCGGCCATCTCTCAGAACGCAAGCACCCTTCCTGCCGAAGCCCGCACAGTTTCCATAAGAGGTCTTCCCGAGAGCCTCGGGGGGCTTCTCCTTCTCGGTGCCAGCTCCGCCGTCTTCGAGGACCGCCCTCCTCTCCTCCCCCCCCTTGGGGGCGCCGCCAAGCGCTGGACGACGCGGAGCGCCTGGATCCTCCCCGAGGCCCTTCGCGAGCTGGTCCAGCTCGCCTCGCAGCTCGGGGCGCACGAGTGGTTCATGCGGCTCAGCAGGTTGCCCACCACGCCGAGGGCGCTCGCGGGGGCGCTGGCGGCCGCCTTCCATTCTGGTGTCCGCTCCGCGGGAGCCTCCGTGGCCCCTGGCGCTGTCCAATTTGGGCCTGATCTGGACCGGATCTGGAGTACATCTGAGCCAGACTTGGGCCGGATTCGCCTCGGCGGTGGACGAACCTCCCTTTAGTAGACCTCCCCTCAGTGAAAACGGCCCGGGACCGAAACCGACGGACCTGGCCGCGACGCCCTCTCGCGAACCGAAAACGACCAATTCCCTAATCGACGTGTCAGGGTAGGAGGTCCGTCCACCCACGATCGCCCCTCGACGTGGGAGAGGCGACGGGCGACGAGGGGGAGGAGCAACAGGAGGGCGGCGAGGAGCACGAGGAAGGGCCAGAGGCGGTCCGAGTGCTGCCGAGGGTGCAGACAGAGATGACTTCAATGTCGCCGCCCAAAGCTCCCACGAACAAGCATCGAAGAGGCGACAACAACTGCGTAACCATGCCTATACGACCACCCTTCAGGTGACGAGGAGGTCGTGTGGGGGGGGAGAGGGGCGGGAACCAACACCTGACTCAATGGATAGCACCATCGATCTCACTCCATGGAACACCACGGGACACCATGGGACACCACGGGACACTTGTCGATCTCACTATCGATCTCACTCAACGGGACACCACGGGACACCACGGGACACCTCGGGACACCACATCGATCTCAGTATCGATCTCAGTATCGATCTCACTCGACGGGACACCACGGGAAACCACGGGACACCTCGGGACACCGCAGGACACCTGTCGATCTCACTATCGATCTCACTCAACGGGACACCACGGGACACCTCGGGGCACAACATCGATCTCAGTGTCGATCTCAATATCGATCTCACTATCGATCTCACTCAACGGGACACCACGGGACACCACGGGACACCTCGGGACACCGCGGGACCCCGCGAGCCACCGCCGGACAGGCGGGCGGGGGAGAATCATTTGTCTTGACTTCGCCCTAGCAACGGCGGACACCACGGGACACCACGGGACACCACGGGACTCCGCGGGCCACCGCGGGCCACCGCCGGACGGGCGGGAGGAGAGAATCATTTGTCTTGACTTCGCCCTGGCAACGGCTGGTTCATTCCTCTCGCGCGCCCACGCAGCTTCGCCTCGCCCGCGCGCACGACACGAACGAAACGAAACGATTTCCCTGTTGGGGGTCTCCGTCCCACTGCGATCTGACCTCCCAACCTCCGAACTGTGGAAGATCAGCGCGAAATTCTAAGATCTGGATGGCGCAAAAAATCCGCGCGGAGCTCCGAAAGTTTATATTTACTCAGTCTCGAATCGAAACGGCCGCCTCCCCGTACTCCTCCGCTGCCTCATCCTCTTCGTCCTTCGAACGCCCTCAGCCCTCCTCTTCCCCATCCTCCATCTCATCTCCCTCCTCCTCCTCCTTCTCCTCCTCCTCCTCCTCCACCTCCAAGTGCCGTCAACCTTCTTCCCGCTCAAGGGCGGCGGCTTGCTGCGTCGCTCAAGCGCGCGGGGTCGGCATGTGACCCATTGGCGCGATGCGGTGCGGTGGTGCGGCGTCGTCGTGTGCCGTGCCGTGGTGCCGTGCCGCTGCGCAGTTCCGTGGTGCCGCGCCGTCGTGCGTGGGTCAACTGTGCGCTAGCTTGGCTGATCTGCCTGGTTGGGGCGGGGTGCAGATACCGGCCGGGCATCCTGGCCAGGGCGGTGGCCGAGCTTCGTGTGATGGCCGACAAGGTCGGTTCCGCGCGCACGCCTGGCAGGACCGGCAGTCTTCGTCGGGTGCCGCCGCGCCGGCGGCAAAGCTGAGGCAATGACAAAGGCAAGCGCGACGACGGTTGGGGCGGCCAGTCGGCGGCGCCGTGGACTGGCAAGCGGTGAGAGACCGAATCCGATAGTTCGGACAGCGAGGCATCGGCCGAGCTATCGCGACAAGGCTTCGAAAAGCCTTCGGCGTTCAGGCTAACTGCCGCTTACATGCAGATCTCAGTGGGAAGGTCGATGAGCTCCTGGCGTGACCAGAACGCATGAGAAAAAACGACGCCCTGGATGCACCTTGAATGGGCGTTGACTCTGCCCTGGCGCAATGGCAGCATCCATCTGACAGGCGCACCCGGCTCACTTTAGAAAGCCACCGCTTGCGATCCCGAGTGGGGTTCGGAAGAAACGCACAAATGCGACGAAAGCCTGGCGGAACAGAAAGCGAGCGACGGCCTCCACATGGGCGGATCCGTTATCCACCGGGCCACGTCCAGTCTGTTATCGGGCCCGACAAGAACCTGCGGTTCTTTTCAAAAAACGCTGCGCGCCAGCGGTAGCCCCGATGGCATCCTCCCCCATCGCCCTGCCTGCAAATTCCCTCTGCTTGGCGAAATCCCCGCGCCGCGTACTCCAGACCGCGTCGGCGGGGAACTTGCACCTCGAGGGAGGCGTTTGTGCGCCAGGCGCCCGAAGGCAATCGCGCAACGTTGCTGCGATTGAATCGGGCGTCCGGTCACGATCCTGCGGTTGCAACAGATTTGCAACAAAGATGCACCGACGAAGATGCGCAGGGAAAAACTCGCTGGGTGCAGCAAATTGCCCCCTGACGTCGCGATCTTTCAACGGTCTCTAGCCGACGACAGCTTGAAATCTCAAGTGGGGGTCGCGGGGCGAGGGAAATCCAGGCCATCGACGGATTCTAGCTATATATATATATAGATACATAAAGTTAACAGCGCGACCTCGGTTAGTGAGAGGATCCGATACACAGGCCCTGATGCACTGCGGGGGGCCCTGCAGAATCTGGCCCGAGAATGGCCAGGCGATCTTTTCGCATCGTGCCTTGTGGAAAGACGGCTTCGTTGGAGGTTATGGGTCTTTGGCCAGGCGCCGCGAGGGCTTCCCATCTGCCGCCGCCGTCACGCCGGAGCCGGCCAGTAGAGGGGAAGCGCTGCGTTATCCTGCGTCGCGCACCCTCAGTTCGCTGACGATTCAACTTGGGCGGTGGCCCCGAGAGCGAGGTCTGTCATGCAGGATCTGTTCGGCTGGGAGCTCGACGAAAGCAAGGCTGCAACGGACGGGCACGCCGCAAACGCGCCTGGAATTGCGGTGTCTTCGGCGAGGGATTCAACGAAGCAACTTTCCAGTTCCCCACGACAATTTCGAACAATCGGCGCACGACATGTGGTCTGCCCTGGAAGCAAGAGCGCTCTCTCCGACGGCGGCCCAGAGACTCGCGACTCGCGGGGAAACAGATTTGGATTGCCCGTACGATTGCAATCGAAGCGAGGGCGTTTGTTATCTGTGCTTTCTGGTTTTGCTTTTGCTCAATATATATATATATATATATATGTGTGTGCGTATGCGCGTGTACAACTTATCTTATATATATATATATATATATTATAAATAGTATACAGTAGTTTGGTGTTTTGCTTGTCATATGATATTTTCTAAGCTTAAAGTGATGCCAACCTTCCGCCGCACCTGTGGGGGTAGGAACTCTCCCCCTGGGCGCGTGCGCCTAGCGCTGGAATGGCGGTTACGGCGGTCGTCGGCACGCCCGGCAAGGCGCACCTCGGCGCGGGCTCCGGAGCTGCCGCGGCTGATTTTGCACACTGAAGGCACGGGCGACGCCTCGGTCGCGCGGGTTGCCGTCTCCGCGCCCACGCGGGCATTCGCCCGCTCTGCAATCCCTCGGCGCCTGGGGGATTGGGCGTTGCCCCGCGGGGTGCGAATCAGCAAGCGTCGTCAATCAGCACATCTTCCACATAATTGGTCGCCCCCGATGCGGGAGTTGGCGCGCGCCTGCAATCGGCAGATCTTCCAGCTAATTCGCGGCGCCGGCGCTCATATCTTGCTGGTCGTAAGTTCGGCAGCCCCGCTCGGGGTGATTCTGAGGGGCTGCTCCAGGCGCGCAGATTGAGATGAATTGATGTCCGAAATTTGATTCGCTACCGCAGGCCGAGTGCGCCATTTTTCCGCCTCGAGAGCGCCGTCAAAACAAAATCTGGCCGATGGCCCGTCAATGGAAGGCGGCGGCGCCAGCGCTGCGCGAAAAGTCGTGGGATGTCGATGCCAAGAGCTCGCATCGTAGTGTCCGGCCGGCACTTCGCGGAGGAACTCGCGCGATGTGACGTTCGCCAGGGACAGCGGGGATAACGTGATTGCCCATGCCGCCGCGCTGCTTTGCCAGCGCGTCGAATCTTCTTTCCAGCGCAATAATAAAGGGAAAAAAAACCTACCTCGCTTTTGAACACCCTCGCTTCCAAGAGATACCAAACGATGCCAAATTGCAGCCTGTACTGGTCAGGCCGCTTGACGAGGAGGCGCGTGGTATGGCTTGGTTTTTGCCTGGAAGCGAAAGCGGGGTAGGTAATTCACGCTCTGAAATAACGCGGTGGTCGACGGGAGGGATCGTTGCGCGTCGCCGCCCTTCCCCCCCCCCCACCCCCAGCGGGGCTAGGGGGCTGCCTGGATTGGGGCTCGAGGCGCTTCGGGGCGCAGGTGGCGGGATCTCGGATCCAGGGCAGCGCGGGCCACGGTTCGCAGCGCCCGCGCGGGCCCCGTTGAATCTTCATCGTCGCCATTGTGTCATCTTCGCAATTTCCCTGGGACCTGGGTGTTTTTGATGAGATCCCAGACGGGCCATCCTGCGTGGCCCGGCCAGCCGCCAGCCCGAGGCGCCAACGCTGGCCGGAAAACGCGGCTGAACGGAGTCCTGCTAGCAGTGCCGGAGGAGGCGTGGCCAGAGGGTGCTGTTGAATTTGAATCCGAGTTGGCCTGACTGCGCGACGGGGCGCGCTGAGTTTGAGAGATCCAGTCAAAGAGAACTTTGGGGGGTCCAGCATCGATTGAACGGATGTGCGGATGCCTTCCCGGCGGAGTTGGCGCGCCCTGGCGGCCAGGCCAAGCGGGCGCGAGCTCGCAGAAACGATTCAGAAATGCTACCCCGCTGGGGGAAGGAGGAGGAGGAGGGAGGAGGAGGAGGAGGGAGGAGGAGGAGGAGGAGGAGGAGGAGGAGGAGGAGGAGGGAGGGAGGGAGGAGGAGGAGGAAGAGGAGGAGGAGGGAGGAGGAGGAGGAGGAGGAGGAGGAGGAGGAGGAGGAGGGGGAGGAGGAGGAGGAGGCCTCATCGCACAACTTGGCGCACCCCGGCGGGGGCCCGCGCGGCGCGGGCCGGGCGCTCTCGGCGCCTAGAACTGCTGGCAGGGGCCCGGATCCGCAGTCCAGTTCCCCAGCGGATCGAGCTCGACTGAAGAGGCAAACGCGCCGCGGGCTTTCTGCCAGAAGGCCGCGGGGCCGCGCGGAACAGTGGAAGCTGGGGGGCGGGCGACGCGCCGAGATGCGCGCGCTGCGCGAGCTGGTTTGGCGGGGCGTTCAGAGCTGGCGCCAGGGCTGCCTGGGACGCGCGTCTCGCATTCGGTCGTGGGGGGGATTTCATGCAAGATGTGTAAGTCTACCCGTGGCCACCGAGTGACGGCGCGTTCAGATTGGGCCCACTTTCCTGAA